GACTACGGCATGCACGACCCCCCCCACACTACCCACCACAGGGCGGTGGGATTCCAGGATCAGACGAATGCGCCATGTACTTCGTGAATTTCTCGTTAGACATCGCCATCGGCACGTTCATGATTTGGTGCTTCGTCAGGGTCCAGGAACTTACTGCGGTGCGATGCGGTATCGATAGCCTCAAGGTAAGCCACACAGCCTGCGCCACTGCCACAACCGTTGCCGCTGTTATGCTAATTCGACTGCAGTGACCGCTGCAAGTCGTAGCTGTTGGTTGCCGTTTCTATGGCCGCTATTTCTAGTAGTTCTACTGCAGCAGATGCTGGTGCGCAGTTTGCAGTGGGTATTCCTGATCTGAGCGATGACCACATTCGGCAGCATGTTTGGAGCCTACGGTCACCGCTATTTCATGTTATCGAGAACCCAACACTGAAAAAACTACGGAGTACAAAGTACCGGTTGTGTGCAGGAATGTTGAGCACTTCGCAAAGGCTCTTCCCTCAAAACCGGACCCGAACGCGCTGGTGGGTCTTGCGATGGCAACATCATGCGCCTGCGGACGTATGCTACAGTCTGCCACGATGAAAAAAAATGTCCTAGTTGGTTGTGTTGTTGCTGGCTCTGATGTTTTTGCACACGCCACTTGTGCTTCAAGGCGTATCGAAGTGGAGTTGAGTTTGCATGAAAAGCGTGAGGCACGCAACAGCTGATCTAGCAGCCATCGCCGGTTCCACGTTCACCGACGCTTGTTGCTGGAAAATGAACAGAAAGAAAGCTAAGATGAGAAGCATACGTGGTTTCTCGCTACACCTTGTGTACGACTACGAGCCCAAGGTAAAGAGTACCTGGTATTTTTTTCTGTTGCACCTGGGAAGCCGCGTTGCTTTTCACGTCAAATGGTCACGCTGTGCGTATGGACAACGCACTCTCTGAGCTCGTTCCCGTCTTGGATTTCCGGTATATCAGGTTACGGGGGACTACGGGACGCCGCCTCTCTTCTCGGTGTACAGGACACAGCTGCTGGCCTACACGGTAATCCTGGTGATCTGCAAGGCGGTGACGACGGCCATCGTGATCGCCATGGACGAGGTGCTTTCCTCCCTGGCTAAGGCCTTGTTCTCCCCCGTCAGCGCCTACCCGGAGCTGGAGCTTACTCTCGTGATGATCATCTGCCCTTGGTGAGCGCCTACTACACGCTGATAGGTAGAGGTCCCTGTTTAGTGACGGTGTGCGCCCAGAAAATCCACGGCGCTATACCGGACCGGCACCATTTGAGAATATCTTGGTAATTCAGGGTATGTCCGCCGGAACACAGGTACTATACGGGGCACCGGCACCATTCGGGACCTCTTCCGTATTAGTGTTCAGCTTCCTTCGTTCGGATAGGTGGATGTGTTGCTTAGCAGTGGGCGCGGCGTTGTTGTGGTGATGACGTCATGGTCGATGCGCGGGGACTACGCCACGCTCTAAAAAAGTCTTGATGTAGACAGCCGTAATGTACAAGGTGAAGGGAACTAGAACGCCCATCATTCAGGCATGTGTGTCGGTTGTTGTGTCCTCCTTTTGTATGAGAGTCAGCTATTCAGGCGGATGGACAGCAGTGAGGGTCAATTCCTGTTCTGGCGGTGTTGATGCCATGCCCTTAGTCCTAATGTGTCCTGCGTAGGAGAGAGCACTATACTACTACTGCCAGGAGGAGGAGATGTCAGCGCTGCCACTGCTGTGGAGTAGTGTCATGGATGTCCCCGTCCGACTGGAACTATTGATTCGTTTCGAGAGCTTCTCCCTAGCCTTCGATCAGATTCTAGCCGGGGAATATGAGGCCAGCTTTCATGGCAAAACTGAAAGGTTCGAGGATGTACGCATGTACAAGACGTACATGCATTGCAGCGCTTGCCAGCACAAGTCGCCGACTCCCTCCATGCCGTGACCTCAGGATCCTCAACGCACTGCAATTCTGGATCTTGGACGACGTGCTCATGTCGGAGAAGGTCGTGCTGGACACGCGTTCGGGCTCATTCGGAAAGTGAGTTCTTGTTGTCTAGGCATTCGACAAACCGCTCGGATCTTTACCTAGAACCTCGTAACAGGTGTTATTATCTCCCACATTTCGGGAAAAACCGAAGAAACATGTCCTTGTAGGCGTTCCTCTCCGTTTCCGTGAAAGGAGGAGATTTATTATTTGTCCTTGTTCCTTTCATGACGGTTTCATGACGGACCGGGAAGGCGCGCTGCTGTAACGCCACTGAGAACGCCAGCAAGACATGCCAGCTTACAGGCCAGGCTTGTTGCTGCTTTCCGTCCGTTATTTGTCCACGCCTGCGCGTTGTGCCTTCGTCTTCAATCGCCAGCATGTTTTGTTTTCTGGCAGAAATCACAAAGCACGGAAACAGCAATAGTGACGAATGAGAAGTACAGCAGCAATTCTAAAAGCTCCATCCAACGTGCTGGTTCTTTTCGGAAATACACGTTCTCAACTAAAGAAAGGCTACATACCCGTTCGACAAATATACAACCACAATTCTTTTGGTCCGGCTGTCCGCAATATGTGACACCCTCGCTCTCGGCGCTGCTGCTGGTGCTGCGCAAGAACGTATGACAGAGACGGATAGGATAGCACATGCCCAGAAAGCCGTTTGGAAATGACGCGGTGAGATAGGCTGTTTGGGTGGGAGATGTGAGGGCAAAATGTCACGGTACCACGCTGCAGTAGAGTAGTGGGCCCTACAACGCGCTAAAAACTTCGGATTGGTCATACAAGTATTGTCATAGATGCCGCACGAAAATGCCAGCCGCGAGGGACTCTTTTTCGTTTGGTCATAGACCAAATCCAAGTCTTGCCGGGCAATGAGCGTCGCACAGCCCAACCGCACGAACAAAGAGAATGTTGAAGGATATCTAGTGCTCCCCCCATATATATGTGTCTGTCACGTCTTGGTGGCGTAGTAAAATCCTGGTTTGGAAGATGAATGTTGTACGGTAGGACACATTGACAGCATGGTGTGAACCTCTCCAGCAAAAAAAAAAATTGAGCTCTGGTTGGAAGACGAATGTTATACAAAAAGACACATTGGCAGCATGGTGTAAAACTCTCCAGCGAAAAATTAGTTGAGCTCTGACAACACTTTCGTAACCCTACCCGTGACTTCCGTGACACTTGGTACCTGCAACCTATATGACACACCCTTTGGCAAAAATCACGCATGTTTTCTTACGGAGAGAATAGTACCACGCTTCTCACACCGAAGACTTGACTTTACCGGTATGAATTCGTTCGATCGATCGGTTTGCTTATAAATTAACTCCGCACATGCGACGACGGCCACGACACATGGACGACCTCCACACAGATTCCGCGCTGATGGTGACGACGCACTAATGCCGTTGGTACATTACGGCTCAACGAGCAGATACGAACACATGGCGGACACGTCGGACGGCGCCGACAGGGGTAGAGGGGGGGGTGGCAGCGGCAGTCTAGACGCTTCTGGCCAAGACGCGTCGGAGAGGGATGGGTTGAACACGCCTACCGGGCTTCCTGCAGAACCTTCTTGGATGTCGGAGCCGGGGGG